ATATATATATATATATATATATATATATATATATAAATATCGAAAGAAAAGACGAGCTCATGTTAACAGCCATTCCTCCTACTCCTACTCCTACTAATACTATTACGACGAATATGAATATGCCTACAGCATTGCCCCCATCAGGGCCGATATCCGCATCTGATCGACTGCAAGATGCGAAACGACGGTTTGCCTCCATGGATGGATTTTCTCTTCTCCGCAGTGCAGGGAACTCATCCCCAACACCCCGTTTTGCCTCTCCACATACACCGAATCCCTATCATACCATTAGCAGCAGTAATAGTAATCTTTCCACTAAACAACAATACCAACACCATCAACAACAACAACAGCAACAACAAGAACAACAAAAGGGAAGAAGTAAAGGATTACAAATTGCTGGACTCTCTAGTATACATCATCCACATGTACGAGATTCCGAAACCAATAGTCTCTTAACATGGACGTTATTGAATTCCCCTTCTCGCGCTACACCTATTCATGCAGTGAAGCCAACTTCAACCACTACTACAACTACTACGAATACGAATACCACAACAGGGAGAATACGAACAGGAATCATTTCAACAGATCCACAGCCAATATCTGCAGGCGTTCTTATCCCCTCCTCTTCCCGCACAAGAGCATCTTCTTTTACGCCTATTAGTGTGAATACTGCTGGTGTTGCTGGTATTGCTGGTGATGTGCATAGTAAGAAGAATGATTCTCCATCGCTACCATCATGTATGATACTGCAGAGTAGTAGAAGTGGTAGTAGTGATGAATTCGCTGTTCTTCCTTCATCTGACGATCAAAATAATAATAATAATAATAATAATAATAATAATAATAATAATACTCATAAGGGTCCTTATGTGAGTGATGTAGCCTTATATGAGACCTATAAACAGTACTGTAAAGAACAACGTGAAGAAGCACAAAAGAAAGAGGAGGAATACCGTCGTCGATGTAATGTAGCACGTGAAGAGTTAATGCGATTTGTATCTCGTGCCGCTCAGTTAAGTAGTTCAATAGAATTACAACGGAGAATATACACACAAGCCATGCAACAACCACTTCATATCGTTACTGGAGAGAAATGGGGAATGATGGGAATAACAGAAGAAGTTGCTATTCCACAGAAGTTATCATTTTTCCCAAAACTCATCACTCCAGGAAAAACAATCACAACAACAACAACAACAACAGGAGGAAGAGGAGGAGCAGTTGTAGCACCTTTATCACCATTAGATGTTAATATTGAGCATAACACTGCGGTACCAGGCATTGGTGAAAGTAGAAATAATAACAATAACAATAATAATATCAATATGAATATGAATAATAATACTGCTGGTGGTGCTCAAATTGCATTATCACTGCTAAAGTCAAGGTTTGCTGCGGGATCTCTCTTGTCTGGTGATGTGATAGACACGAGGTTCTCTGGACAGACGGCTATGAAGAGAGGAATACCAACCCAAGTTAATACACCACCTTTAGAGACATTAAAAGTGGGGAATGGAATACATGTGAATAACACAAAAGCAACAACAGCTCAGAGTGGCAATAATCATAATAATAACAATAATAGTAATAATCTGAATAACGTTAATGACTCTATAGAGGAGGATATGGGAGGATTAGGAGCACCGCGTATACCTTCATCCTCTGCTATTACCGCTACTGTAGATTATACCGATAGTAATACCGGAAATGACACAAATATGTTTATGCGTGATAAATCTACAGGAACAGTGGTGTACAATAGCCGTTTATCTCACAATCGTCAAACTAAGAGAGATCGCCACAGTTCCTTACATCATCATCATCATCATCATCATCATAATAATATTGCTACTTCCTCTGAAGGGCCATTAGAACCATCGACAGTCTCCCCCACCGGGACGGATCATGAACGGGAGGAACAACAAAAAGCCCTTCAACTCCTTTCACTTGTTCGTCTCTTACGCCGACAGACGGAGGATCTCACAATGCAACTTCTCCACGCCACTGGGGAATGGGGATGTTGGGAGAATGCAGAGAAATCACGGAATAGTATCTACTGCGGTCTATTTCTCACACCAGAGATGGCAGCACGTGTGGAGGAAGAAGAGAGGGAAGCGGAATGTCGTCTCGCACAACTAACAGCAGCAATCAAAACAACAACAACACCAAGAGGAAGAAGAATCATAGAAGAAGAAGAAAGAGAAAGAGAAAGAGAACAGAAAGGGAAATCGCAGTCCATGCTGGAAACATTATTACTGCATTGTCCATTTAAACGTAAACTACCACCGCCACCACCAGTCTCTGTGCAGCTGGAAATGTCTGCATTGCGTGGACATCACATGATGGCGCATGGAAAGTCCCCATCTCGACAAGCGTATCATCATCATCACGAAGAAGAACGAGAAGGAAAAGGAAAAGGAAAAGAAGAAGAAGAAAAGAAAAATAACAAAGATACCATACACGAAGATAATGAAGAGGAGATGATGACAAGGAAAGAGAAGAAGAGGAACAAGAAGGAGAGAATGGATAAGAGAATAAAAGATGCAGAAGAAGAAGAAGGAGGAGAAAGAGAAGGATACAGCAAGTCCTCCTGGTGGCCACAACTTCAGAAACTTCTTTTGCCAGAGAGTACAGAGAACACACTTCTCGTGGATCCAAAGAAAGAGGAAAAACAACAACAACAACAACAACAATGCGAAGTGGATCATCCTTCACATCTTCCATCAACTCCCGCAACAAAAACAATACGAAGAACAACTGAAAAGAAAATGGGAAATACAGAAAACCCCTCATTAGATCCGGTGAAATCCCTAAGCGGATCTGGTGGGATTCAACCACGAAAATTTTGTCTCACTCTATCATCATCATCATCTTCTTCATCTTCTTCTTCAACGACGAGTTATTCTTCTAATGAGTCTAGTAATGAGGATGATGGGGACGAAGAGAGTACTAATAGTAATAGTAGTAGTAGTAGCTATACAAGCTCTTCCACCTATAGTTCTGAGATAGAGGCAGGAGAGAAGCATCATCTCAACAAGGAGGGAAAGGAAACAAAACCAGAAGAAGAAAAAACGAGTGAAGAAGTCCTACAAGATTCTCCTTTACCATCTAAACCACCCAGTGAAGGAGGAAATCCAAAGGAAGAAGAATTATTATTTTCTGCGAGATCATTAGATGATGAACCACGTCAGGTCTCTGGTTCCTCCGATAATACGGCTATTTGGCCAGTCTTTCATGCTGAGGAGGTCTGTTTGGGGAATCCATGTAGAGATAATAAGAAGTCTAATGTTAACAAGAAGAATATAATAAAGCGTGTGTTTGGATTCTTCTCTCATGGAATATGCAGCCGAAGCAGTGGGAAAGGGGCAGTAGCGGAAAAGAAAAGATCACAAGAAGGAAAGAAAAAATAAACAGATGTGAAGAAGAAAAAAACAATATATAGAATGAGTGAGTATTGACTTTTTTTTTTATTTCTTCTTCTTTCCTTCTTTCCTTTCTTTCCTTATTTTGGTTATGCACTTGTCTTCTCACTCCATTCTTTTTTTACATATTTTACACGGTATGTGTATATGTGTGTATGTGTGTACGTATTAGTAGTATTATTATTAAGTAGTGATGTTTTTTTTTTTTGTTTTTTTTTTTTTGCTTTTCTTTGTGATTTTCTTGCGGGTAATAAAATGACGAAATATCGTATTATGTGCCTATTTTTATTTTCTCCTTTGCCTAATCCTTAATATATATTTATCTATATATATATAGGAATGGAGAAGTATGGCTTAACTTTCTTTTATTATCTTTACACGTATGTCTGTATTAAATGAAAGTGTGTATCTCTCTCACTCTCTAAAATGTAAATTGTCGTTCTTTCTTCTTTTTTCCTTTCTTTTCTTCTTTTCTTTTCTTCTTTATCAATACAAATAAACAATTATTATTATTATTATTATTATTATTATTATTATTATTACTATTATAATAGTGGATAAAATAACTGCGCGATAGCACAGCCAAAGGAAAAAAATAAAAAAGACACACGGAACTCTACTGGTGTTGGTGAAGTCTTCACAAAACACATCACAACAACCAACCCGGAAGAAGAAGAAAAAAGAGAAAAAAAAGAAAAGAAAATTTAAGAAAAAGGCAAAAAAAAAAGAATAAAAAGAATATAAAGAAAAGAGAGAGAGAGAAACGATACATTTGGGAGAGCAATAACGGAAACCAAGTGAAAACTCTCAGAAGGGAAAGACAGTAAAATTCTTTTAGGAAAGAAAAAAGAAGGAAAGGAAAGATTGAGAACCTTTCTTTCTTTCTTTCTCTCTTTGTGTGAGTGTGAGTATTCATTATCCGTGAAATCTCAAAGTATTCAATAGCAGCAGAAGAAGAAGAAGAAAAAAAAAAAGGAGCAATAAATATCAAAGTAACTCTCGACATACGGAGAAGGTTGAAAACTTAACGTGAACCAAAGAAAAGAAAAGAAAAAAGGAAAAAAAAAAAGAAAACACAACCAAATAAATAAGAAAAAAATACACATACAAAGAAGAAAGAAAACAAAAAGGTAAAAAAAAGGAAGGAAGAAAAAAAAAAGAGGAGTGAAAGGGGAAGTAGAAAAAGTAAGTAGGATATCTGTTGCCTAATGAGTTTATTTACTTTTGACCCTCTCACCACCAGCAGCGGTTGCGGGATTGTTGGAAATGAAACGAGCGCCAGCAGTGAAAGCCGCAATGAAGTTCCATTATTTCAAAGAGCAGATTGGTCTCTCAACAACTTGGATGGCATGGATAATGAGGATAAACATTTGGTGAATCCCATATTAAAGGATGAACACACATTAATGTATGAGGATCAACCGATATTTGATTCGAGATTAGGACCACAAGCCGAATCCATTCCACCAGAAGGAGAAGAAGAAAAAGAAAAACAACAACAACACGATAAACAAGAAAAACGGTATCCAGTTCCATCTCATCAAAGGGGAGAAGAAGAAGAGAGAATGATAGAGGGAAAAGATGTTTCTTGTTTAGATGAGGGTAAATGGTTGTGTGATCCAACTTCATCCTTCATGACTCCAGGAGCTGCGGGTGGTTTAACCACACCACCGGATTCCACTCCCACTACTCCTATTAATATGATGAATATTAACAAAACTCCCGTTGTGAATGATCCTCCACGACTCACCGCACGCAATAATGTCTATCTCAGTGAACTTCCATCCCATTGGAATACCGATAGACTACGTAGTGTGTGTCTCACCTTTGGTGGAGTGGTCTCCGCGAAGGTGGTACATGATCCTACCACGAATCGTTCTCGTGAATATGGATTTGTGATGTTTGAAACGGAGGAACAGGCGGCTTTATGTGTAAAGACTTTAAATAACCGCCCAGTGGAGGGTCGTATTCTCACTTGTCGTTTAGCACATGAAAGAGCTATGCCTTCCTTTGCGCATATGGACAGGGCGGCGTGGAGTTCTTCTTCTAATACCACCACCGCAGCGGCCTCTCCACAACTCACAGGATTAACGGAAGAAGATCTTTTATTACAGCAGCAACAACAACAACAACAGCAGAAGAATGGAGCGGATGGGGTTTCACATCCGGATGGATCTTCTTTAAATGAGGAAACGACATTACAGAGGTTTACACCTTTGGGATGCAATCTTGATCAACGGGGAGGTGTGGCTACTGTGCAAAGAAGTCGGAATGTCTTTATTCAAGGATTACCCTTACATTGGAATACGGATAAATTACGAAGTTTATGTGGTACGTGTGGAAAGGTTCAATTAGCCAAAGTGGTTCGTGATGCCACGACGAGTCAATCCTGTGGACATGGATTTGTACTCTTTGAGACGGATGAACAGGCTTTAACATGTGTAGAGAGACTCAGTGGATTTACAACAGAAGGAAAAACATTAATTTGTCGATTGGCTCGTGAAAAGCGAAGTTCACCATCGCAATTGCAATTGCAATTCACCACGGGTAATCCCACACCGTCTTCACCGCCGCTGAATATTCCCCCAGGCGGCTGCACTTCCACCACAACTCCCACAAGTACACCCACACAATGTGGAAAAGATGCCAACACCGTTGGAATGAGTCCAGACTACGCCACTGCTATTCTCCAACAACAACAACAACAACAGCAGAGTATTATCTCACCTGTAAATCCTTCCTTTTTAAGTAATGCCGCGTTAGTAGGGGGACCACTCCCACCCGGAGCTCTTTTACCACGAATGCCGCCCGTCGGAACCCCAACCGCGGCTATTATTCCAAATACGATGATGGCCCCTGGTGGGATACCGGATCTGGAGTATCGAATAGCAGCCATGCCAAACTTTGGAAATACATATTTTATTACGACTCTTCCCTACCAGACAATGGGATTGGGACAAGTGATGGAACCTATAGTGACAACAACAACAACAACAACAACAGCAGCAGCAGCAGCAGCAGCAGCAACAACAGCAGCAATAGCAACAGCAACAGCAACTCCTCCACCTTGTGGAAAACCAGAAATGATGCGGTGCTTTCCCGGTAGGTCTTGACCGTCTGTAGTTTTTTTGTTTCTTTCTTTGTTTATTTATTTATTTTATTTTATTTTATTTTTACTCTTCTTACTTGGTTGAGGTTTTGACCTTGAGTTTCCTCCATTTTTCACGATATCTTTTCTTTGTTTTCCCCTTTATTATTATTATTATTATTATTATTATTATTATTATTATTATTTTGGTATGGACGGGGCCAAAGAGATTTTTTTTTTTTTCTTTCTTTCAACTTTCTTGCTTTGCGCATAGCGCATTTTTTTTTTCCTTTTTTTCCCTGTTTTCTTTTTTTTTTTTACCCTTTTTGGTTATTATGATCATTTTATTACTCTACTAGTTTATGATTTTTATTTTTCTCCTTTTATTAGTGTGCCTCTGTGATTTGTGTGGGCTTTTTCCTTAAAAAATTCTTCTTTCTTTATTTCTGTTTATTGTTCTGCCGTCATATCCCTCTTTTTTTTCTTGTTTTTTTTTTTTTTT